TGGTGTGCAACCCATCGGTTCTTGCCGTTTCCGCACTTTCCGCTTCTTCTCTGCATGCATGAGGTCTTTCTGCTGCACCTCGTCAACTGCCTTCGTGATCAAATCGCGCCATGCACGCCGATCAACCGCCTTCGATTCCCATGATCTGTAATCAAGATTAAAACGTGCTAGGCGCACTTTGATCATGTCCTGGTAACGAAGCTTCGGTTTCCCCGCATGCTGCTTCCCCACACTCAGCTGATCATGTCATCCTTTTCAGATTCGCAAACAATTCGCCATCCCGATAAGGCTTACACCTTTTGAACGAATGGATTCCCTCGCATGGCTATTAGTTGCACCACTAGCGTGCGATTCGACTATCACACGAAACCTGGCTCTACATCTGCATCGTTGTTATTGTTCTTGCATTCACGTATGTATGTATGTAATCTCAGCAGTCTAGCAACTAGACATAGAGCCGACAAAAAACATGGAGATCAGCGGATAAGGGACAGTCATCGCGTCATACTTATCATGGCAGTGTAGTTGAAGGTGAGCAACACACTTCAACTAATATGCCGCAGGAAGAAAAGAACATTTTGACAAAAAGTAGAACAAAACATTTTTAGTTTGTTTCTCACACGCCGATTTTTCTCTTTTTTGTCAGTTTTAATGTTTGAAGCATTAAACATGTGAATCAATACAATACTGTGCACAATTCTGCCACTTATTTTGGTTGCGAGCCATGTCTTTAAGAGTGTTAAGCCATTGGCACTCCTCATCTTTGGGTTCCCATCCTGGAAGAGGTACGAATCCAACAGCGGCTAGACACGACGTCAGCGAGTTCATATGATGTCGCCATGGGGAAGGCTGACCGCCACGCGGTCGCCTCCATCCAGGTCCTTGAGGAGCGAATAGAGCGCGAAGCGATAGACGCTCAGGTGTCCTGCATAGGACGGGACCGAGCCATCTCAACTGGCGCAGCAAAACCAGTTTGTTGAATGGAATACTCTCATTCTCCAAGGTGCGACGTCGAACGTCATTACTATTAATTCGATGTTGCCACCAAACACGCGCAATCCTCCTTAAGCAACCGTTATCGAAGGGAGGAAGACGAGGCATGTCTTCCACGCGAATCGGCAGGACTTGCTCCCATACAACAACTCTGAGCGAACCGATGCTCTGTAACCGCGTTCGCGTGGAACGTTTTGCCTTTCACTTGAGGTGCCACATTGTCCGGGATAGCCCAAAATCGGCCCGCACGAACAGCCTCTTGGCTGACTATTCAACAGGTCCAGTTCCACGTATCAGCCAGATGAGTTAGAACAGTTGACACCAAAATATCGTGTCAGCTGTTGTTCCGTCAATGCTCAAGAGCTTGCGGCGGCAAAAGTGGTGACAGAATGCACCGCTTTTATTGCTCTTTCTCCTATCTATACTCAACACATCAGTATGTGAACATCACGCCTGCAACAATTCCTTGTGTTATTCCTGTGTGGTTTTAGAAGTCAGTAGACCAAATGAGAGTACGATTCTCCTAATCCGTTCCATCTTTAGACAGCTGGGAACGCGACAACGCAGGCAGAAAGATAAACCATAAACCAACACGGAAAATGTGATTTGGGAATTAAGCATCTTGAAATCTACTTGGAACCGATCGAGAATTCATGCTTTCATAAGGGCTTGAAAACAACTGGTTGGCGTAGCGGGAGCGCAACGTTATCCGGCGCCGAAAATTTCGTCGCGCTACGTGGATGACAAATTTGTCATCAGCAAACGAGGTACAAAAGACGAGTTTCCTGCTTATTCGAACTCCATTAATGAGGCCGTAAGTGTCACGATAGCATCGGAAACGTGTAATACTACATTGCCGTCCTTTGACTGTTTAGTTTTTTAGGAATGGGGGTAATCTAGACGCATCGATATTCCGTAATCGACGGACACAGATGACGTACTTTAATACAGGTCAGGTCATCCGAAGCATATATATGCTTGCATCGCCACATCTGTTGCACAGAGCACAGACACTGTGCACAGAAGAGGATGATAAAAAGGCCGCTTGGAATTAAACTTTGAACCAAATGCTCGATAGTAGATATGCGAGACGACTGGTGAAATGCCAGTTGCCCTAGATTCTAAACTCGCATCCACGTTGTCCGACTGAATGGACTGGGACCGTAGGGATTTCTTAAAAATAGGGAACTTCAGAGCCCATCCGAAGGATATTAAGCAATGAAAAAATAAGGGTAATTTTCCAGTAGGGATGAACGCTCCGTTCGGCATTGGTAGACTAGGAGGACTCATTCCTCGCAGATAGGACGACCAACTGCATCTACAAAATTAGCTGCATGGACTGCGCACAGGTGTACTTAGGCTAGAGAACTGCTCACGACGTTAGCAGAACACAAAGCGTGCATGTCACGACCATCGAAGAACGAGATTGAGTACAAGGCTGTACTGAGGGAATCAGCAGTGGCGATGCACTGGTTACACACAGAACATGAAATCCACTTGGATAATATCGAAATAATTCGGATGGGGTTGCGATCCGCGCCCCAAAGACTGGCTGCTGAGGCGTTAGAAATTACCAAAGCCAACAGCTGTGTAAACAGGTTGGATGGACTGGAGTTGTCGAGTATGTGGAGAATTGCGTTAACTCGGCCAGTGTGAGGGGCGTCTGCGGACGGATCTGGGGCAGAGCGCGAACATCAAAGCGCTCTTACTCCCATCACTGAGAGAGACTTATGTGCAGTGACATCGTACAATGAACCATCTCTAATGTGCCATTTGAAGGGACACTTTGACCTGCAACGTGATTATCATCCCCCTTGCTTCTCGGTCACCTCGAATGCTGTTCCATTTTGCCATAAAAGCCGTACCAATCACCTGCTGGTTCATTTGGGCAGACAAAGCTTTGGTGCCTTGGGAAAGTTTAAAAGACAGAACGATTTTGTGTATGCCTTTATTTTTGTGACGTTTCGCTCTTGATGCGAGAGCTTCGCCGGGCCATTTCTTGCGGCAAGAGCGAATCGCAGCCAAAATAAAAGCCCATACAAATCTATATGTATGCTAAATCATCTGAAGGTATAAACTCCAAATTGATCGCAAGCTTATTCAGAGATGTTGAAACATGGAGAATCTGCAAAACCCCTAACTAGATTAGAATCGCTGAGTGCTAAGTACTATCCTGTAGGTGTCTTAGGCTCTGGTTTTCACACAAAATTTCCATTCCGTCAAGTAGCGTGCCCAATTATATCTTGCGGCTGATGGCAATTAGGTTTTGCTCGCCCGAAAACATTACAGTGTTTTCGGACGGACATCACCTAATTTCCATCTGCTTCGGCTACGGTCGCAGTGATCTCAGTGACCAAGGATCACTTCAGTGTGAATTACGGTCCACATTTAGATTGCGAGTCGCAATCGAACCACACAACGTGTAGTCCACACTTAACCCTCCAATTAGTCATTTACCCTTGTGCCAAGTGTTGCGCGCCGTGACCCGGTAGCCAAAAGGGTAGAGGTTTCGTCTACTATTCCAATGGTCGCGGGTTCGAGGTCTGCTATCTCCGCCTGATGAGATGAAATTACATCGAAACGCGTCGTGGTTGTGCAGTGTTTTCGGGCGCGCAACACCCATTTTTCATCTGCTTTGACTACGGTCGCAGTGATCGCAGTGGATAAGATTCACTTCAGTGTGAATCGTGGTCCACATTGAGATTACACGTCGCAATCCCATCACACAACTTGCAATCCAAAATGACCTTCCAATATCCTGGGGCTCTCTGTTGGGGAAATAATAATAAATAAATAATAATGTGTCAGCTGTACGCCGTAACGGCGCTTCGCTGTCGCGTGACCACCACCAGTCGCGCGCGGGCTGAGTATACCGCGAGGAAGCCCACCCCTACGCGGATTCGAACCGGTGACCTTATGGTTGCAAAGCAAATGTGCAGACCACTCGGCCACCGACCGAGGCAAACTAAATTTATAACACACCACTCTAAAGGTCAGACACATTTGCCACCCCCCTGACGCATGCTTTCGCGCCGGAAGTTTCCCTTGTAGAATACTATACAGTGGATGTGGGTGGCCCCCATGATCACACCTTTCCCTAAATAATTCACCTATCATGGGGCAATAAAATACATGGTATTGGAGATGAGCCACTCTATTTTGCGTCTGGTAATTAGTCATGGTTGTCCGCCCATGTCACTCACGGCCGGTAGCTCAAGTTGAAGAATTAAATCACTTGATCGAATTCCGTTGGAATCGATGGCAATGTGGGATGCTTATGAGCCTTAATAGGACAAAACAGACGTCTAGCACTTTTACCGATGTGTTGTAGCCGCCTGATTAAACCTGGCCACTATTAAGCTTTTCAAGACACTTGTGTATGCCAGTGTCCGATGGCAGTTCGTACTCTAACTCTGTGGCAAGTCATGCGTTGAAAAAATGTACCCCAAGAATACGTCCGTTTAGCTGACTACTACATGAGAGTCTACCATGATGTTACTTCGATCAAGCGGTTCACTATTCACCCACTAGTTTCGCCCAAATCGGGCTACCATAAATGTCGCAGGTCATAAATTGTATTTCCATTAGACTATGCTGGCTCTTTTCCGCAAGTTAACTTAGCCGAATTTTTGCTCTTCTTCACTCCATTCGATCTTTGTTCATCTCTTATAAATATCCAAAGTGAACTACTTCACCGCAACCGGTGCCTTCAATGGTGAACGCAAGTCGTAAGAATCGAAAGGGGTCCAGCTATCCTACAACATTACCGCATTAGGTTCTAGGTCCCTTTTTCTATTCATGGTTGAATCCTAGGACGTATTTTGCATCCTTCGAGAACTATCAGTGAGCAACTTAACAAATTCCAGCGCTTTCCTAGCGCTTAATCTCCACCACCACGTTAGTCACCAGGTAAAATGTGCTCTATACTCCCATAACAAGAAACAACTAGTTTCTTTTCAGTTCTCTTGTGAATAAATGTTACCTACTTCATGTATACTCTGTTCCAGCCGAACCGGACTACACAGTCATCCCGGCGTCGCCGTTGTTTTCGCGTATTGCCACCAATGGCTACCAAGCTCAGGTTGGTGTAACTGATGGACATGGACCCGCTGTGCCTCGTTCATCCGCCACAGTACTCGGTAGAGGAGCGCCGGATAAACTCTCTACAATGTCAGGTAAGTTGATCATAAGAAAGCTCAAGCCGACCACGGCCTGTCAGGGCTCAGCTGATCTATATATGGTCCTGCAAAGGAGGAATATATTTCCGATCAACCCCCCTTCTAAGCACTATCAATCGCACCTAGTTCACATGCCTCTTTTGCGGATGATTCCCTCGTGCACATAGTCCCTGCCTGTATAGTTGGCGTTGCACAAGCGTACGAGAATGCTTATCAAATTGCTTTAGCATACCGGTCATTAAGATGAAAATGCAACTCAATTGCGTCTACCATATCAACTGCTTATTCTACCGTGTGTCGAACCCAAGTGACACAGCAGCGTCATATGGATCCTTGGAACTTGCTTGAGAAGGCTTGGGAACAATGCCTGTTATCGGCCATCGGATCACTTGGAACAATTCTCATCGGAAACATGATGGGGACAAAAGCGCTTGTGAACTAACGTCTCTCATTTTTGACCGTACCGACGGCGCACCTCGCGATTCAGTTTACCAAGGATCAGTCAAACTGTCTTCTTCGATTACCTGAATGCGTCCTATTTCAAGCCCCCGAATAGTGTTTGCGCTGGCCGCCGCCTCGTGTTGCCTACTGTTCACAGTCACTATGTACCACCAGTTTGCGTCGGCGAATCACAGCCGAGCGTCTCTATCAATTCAGTTTTAATCCCCTTAAGTACATCCTGTTAAATCCCGGACGTCGTCTCAAGCTGGCATATAACACTGTCCAGCAACATGTTCACTTATACTCACCAAAGGTCTGCTGCTTCTTGCCAGCATCAACAGCAGCAAACAAATGACAACAGCAGTATATCAGCCATATGAACTGATGCTTCGCCGCCATACAACCATGATGACGTATAGAATAAAGAATAATAAGAGAGAGCGAAGGGGGACTTACATGAAAACACTAATACCCTAAGCAAACATTCAGGGTCAAGACGTCTGCACCTTGTGTAGACAACATACCGTCACAAACAGCTGGCTATCGTGCAAAGATAAGACGGCATCGGCGAGACAGCTTCCTTGCGGCTTTCACTGCCACGCGTCATAATCAGCCATTACCCCGCAGATAACTCAGCACCACCACACACTTTAAACAGACAATCCGGTTAGGAGACGGCAGCAGACGTGCCACTGGTGTCGGTTGCGAGACATGTCCTGTAAAGTCTCTAGCCAAGCACAAGGCGAGTCACGTGGACTCCACACCGGAAGGCGAGACGGACCAACGGCACCTAGTGTGGCCGTCAGTGACTTCATTTCCCGCTGCCAAGTCAACTTCTGTCCACCTCGAGTTTTGCGCCATCCTACATCTGGCAGACTAAACAAGGCCCTCCTAGACCAGGCATACGTAGCACTTGCCCGAGCCAACGCAACTTATTCAGTGCAATATGTTGTTCTAGGGAGCTAGCATGGTTATCACTACCTAGTACTCGCCTATGCACATCATCGTTGCGGATATGCTGGTGCCATCCGACACCAGCAATGCTTCGCAGACAACGATGATGAGAGACTTGAATGCGCCTCAGATCTTCAGACCGAAGGGGCCAGGCCTCACTCCCATAGAGCAGAACGGCCCTTACTGTGGCCTTGTATACTCGGCCGTTCAGACGGAGGGAAACTCCCTTCTGTCGCCAAAGATGCCGCAGGTTCAAGAAGACAGTTCTGACCTTTGCAGTGCATGAACTGACTTCAATTTCTATGCGCCTATCGTTGCTGATGCAGCTGCCAAGATAAGTGAAATGAACAACCACCTCGAGTTCCTCGTTAGCAAGGGTCAAGGGGTCACAAAGTGGCTGGTGGTCCTGCAGCAGCCTTTGCACTTTGAAGGTGCGAAGTGCATACCAAATAATGGGACCACTCTGGACAGGCTATTCAGGGTTGATTGTGCCGCCGCAACATCGTCGAAAAGCAAGATGATATCGTCTGCATAAACGAGATCAAATAATCTTTCACCAGGCAGGACCTCAACGCCTACATCGTGGAATTCCGTAAGGGAACACTCCATGATAGAATCCACAACGAAATTGAACAGAAATGGGGAAATCGGAGAACCCTGAGGAACGCCACTTGTAGTCGAAAAGCTATCCGACAGCTCACCGTAGACACTGACGCGCCCTGTAATGTTCGAGTATAGTGCACGAAGTATGTCCACACATTTCGTGGGAACACCTTTCCCTGAAAGTATTTCGAACAGAATGGAACGCACTCTTGAAATCGAGGAACACATCTATTGTCGGTCTGCAGTATATGGTTTATATAGCCACGTTTTGTGCGGAAATCTGCCTGCTCTTTCCTAATCCGAGATTTCCGTTCTGCAGTGAGGCGACGAGCGATAATCGAGGCCAATACTTTTGTCACGACTGGCGTTCAGCTAATACCCCTGTGGTTAGAACAGTCTGTGCGACTGCCCTTCTTGTATATTGCCACTATAGTCGATTCGCTCCAATTACCCGGGACACTCTTCTTACCAGATACGTTCGAATAGGGAGGTCAATGCTTTGCAGAGGACCTCACCTTCATCCTTAAATAGTGCAGGTCAGAGGGTATCGGGCCGGCGGCACGAAAACGATTGAGGGCTGTGATCGCGTTTCGGACCTGGGGCTCCGACGGAGGCACTAACCTAACCGTCCATGGCTCCTCCTGCATTAGCTGGATAGAAAGAGGTCCGGGGGCAGGGGGCCAGCTGAACTGATTTTGAAAGTGTTCCGTCCAACGATCCCTACGGCGTCCATTATCGTGTATCAATGCACCCGCGCTGTTTCTGATTGTCTCACTGACGCATGGTTTTCTGGGACCATTGGTGTGGATTAGCTGGAAGAGCTTCCGGTAATTGCCTAATGCTCCTGCCTCCTCCATTTCTTGAGCCCGAGTGGTCCACCAGGTTTCCTTGTCAGCACGTAGGCTCTGCTTTAGTTCACGCCTAATAGCCCGTCTGGTCACATTGTGTTCAGTGCCAGACGGGAGATGTCTTCTAGATTCCAACAAGTTCACCGACCTCTCGGATATCCAGTGACTGGTGCAGTGACGATTGATAGTGCCACAAGCAGATGCTGCTGCGTCGTGCATGGCTACCGAGATCCTATTCCACTGAAGCTCAGTGTCAATAGGACAAGACAGCGAGAGTTGGGGAAGCAGTGCGTCTTGATAGGCCTGTCTGACCGATGGCTAAGACAATTTCTCAGTTGCCAATCGGAGGAGACGCTTGGTGTGCCTTCCGATAAAGTTCACGGAGAAACGACAGCGTAGTAAGGCATGATCAGAGTCGACGCAGGTATTCCAGTACGAGCGGCAATCCAGGATGGAACCATGCGATCTGTGACTTATGGCTATGTGGTCAATTTTGGTCCATCGCTGGCCAGCTACAGGAGGACGCCAAGTGTCACTTCGGCGCCCACTGTGTCTAAAAGCAGTGCTAGTAAGAAACAACTGGTGCTTCGCACACAGTTGCAGCAGACGCTCGCCGTTGTCAGTCCGTTCGGAGTTAAGTCCATACTCACCACCCAGCTGAGCTTCTGAAGAGCTCAGACGCCCTACTTGTGCGTTCATATCCCCTGTAAGTACTATAATACCTGAACTAGTAACACTGCGTAGTAGCGCGTTTAGTTCGTAATAGAAAGTGTCCTTGACAGCATTAGAACTGCAGTTAGTGGGAGCATAGGCGGAAATCACAAACATACAGCGTTTTGTACTACTTTTTGTATAAACCTTAGCTTGTGTCATTAAACGAGCTGCACATAAACGGCTGTTAACCGGAATCTCATCAAGCAATCATGGCTCAGTCTTGGAGCTTAGAATGATACCTACACCTGCTTGACCCGTGAGTGTTGCATCGGCATCTCCAGATGCCAGCAGCACTCGAAAATAAAACGGAATTCAAGTGAAACTCATGGGTGGATATATTCGCTCTCATGCCTGCACACCTGCTTCAGGAGCAATCCCATTTGTTCCATGCTGCGTTCTGTCAGCATTTGAATTCGTGGAAAATTGGCATGAACGCACCTAACATCCGCAATTACCAACACTTTCATTTAGTTACAAGCAATTCACCGAGCCCTCACTCAAGTAATGTCACTTCTGATTTCTTAAGCCCTGTTGGTCCGGCTGTTGGTCCAGTTACCCGTAATGTCGCCTAAAGTGAATATTTTAACGAGACCCATCTTATCCCATCGTGCCTAAACCCATTGACTATTGCCGTGCATATTAGTGTTCCCAGCCTTTGTTTGGCGGCCTAACTTCCATTGGTGTTTAAACTGTTGGCGGAATGTTGCTGTTCTTCTTTGCGCCAGCGAAATTTCTTTCGTTCAAAATACACGTCTGATTGAGCTAGCGATATCGCGTGCTTTTCCTATTCTGTTCCCAAGGTGAAGACAGCATTCACGAGAACCCGTTGATCGAGAACGGGCAGCTGACTTGGCGCGATGCGAATGACGTCCGAGTAAGTGCAGTGTTTCGGCCTTGAAGTACGCTGAAATGCTCGCTTTTCATCTACGGTTTAATATTCATAGTGACTCAGTGGTTTGTCAGTAGTCTATGCTTAGTGCATAGATAAGGTCAGCTCCTATTGAACTCCTGACTCTGATCATCGGTGCACTTTGGGAGAAATCCAAACAAGCAAACTGTTAGCCAACTTTCAAGGATGTTACGGTACTCTATACCAGGGAGTTGCATAGCTGTACTCGTCTGTTGCTGACGTTAGTCATACCGCAAAGAACACCTCCTTAACGAATCATGTTTGCATACATGTGTGTGTGTGTGTGTGTGTGTGTGTGTGTGTGTGTGTGCTACAGCAGGCGGACGTGTGCATTTACGGACAGCACCTGTTCAACCACAAAAGTACCTCCCCCGTATTGTCGGGCTCCTCGGATACTTTTTGCCTAATGTCCTAGTGGCAATCCTGGTCTTGATTTACTGTTTTTGGGCGTCGTGCTGCATCACACTAGCACGGTCACAAATGCTCTCTCTAATGGGTTTCACTGTAGTAGACGCGCTCACTTCACTAGCGTTCACGTGTGATTGTCCTCGGGCATCTACCCACCTTTCATCTTCATGCGCCATTCAAAACATTGTCCCATAAGCCCTCGGGCAGCGGAGCTAAATATCCGCATAAGTGTGTGTGTCCTCGGAGAGCGATTTGCAAGCGCATACGCCTCATAACTAATTGGTGGGGCAGAGTTTCTCGTGTTACTTAAGTGGAACCTGGTTTCTTGGCTAGAGGAACATATGAGTTTTGTCAGGAGACATGCGCTCATTTGGACAAGTGGACGCGTTACACGTTCGTTTCTAACAACTATGTGATCACAGAGGAACTTACGCGAAATATTATCTAACAACCTTCGTTTGGCCGATTTTCCCTATTTATCCGAATAGAATATTGTGGTACTCGAAAACTAGACAGTGGTGTCACACCCACTTAAAGAGATGACCTTTCTTTGTCTTACCATGAACAGTCGAGGGAGACTAAGATGTCTGGTCCACTTTAATGAGACCCACTGTGTTATCGAACATTTACCCACGTCGAACACTTTGCATTAGTGTGTGCTTCGCTATATGTGAGGAAACAAAAACATCTCTCTTCTTCTGTTGCTGTTATATTAGCTGTGCCTCGAGAATGCTAAAAAGTTATTGCCAAGTTTGCCATTATGAAAGTGTACTGGAATGGTAGCTGCATGTCCTCAAGGGGTGGACTAATTCCGCATGTAGCTGCTTGTGTCTGTTAGCAAGCAGACCAATGAATAAAATTTCCTGCCATCGTTTAATCGGTTGTATGGTATGATTTAGTACATATCTTATTCATTTTAGGAGATACAGACAGTTTGTATGATGGCTTGTCATTCTAGAGCATTTTGCCACACTAGGAACGCACTGAATAAAGAAATTTACAACAACCATTAGAAAATGCCGGCGCAGCGAAGCCTACGTTCATCGGCCTAGACAACACTATGTACGAGTAACACACTGAATATCCAAAACATATTTGAGTACGAGTTCATGGACTGTCCCCTTTCACTAAACATCAAGTTGTTGTTGTCAAGTGCGGAAGCCACAATCACCTCAATGGTTATCTTAACCCACGTAACAAGACAAACTGTTTTCCAGTTGAGCGGGTTTTGATTCCGAATTGCTCCAGACGATGAATAACTTCGTCAACTTCGATGATATCGTCACAGCGTTCTGAAACAACCACAGGGAGATAAAGGGTGCAGGGAATGTAAAGGGAGTATTCAATTAATGTTTATCAAAAGATCGGGAAATACATCGATGATGACATGTGAAAAGGTTTCGGTGAGAAACCTATGTTAACTTCGATTTCTGTATTCATAAATAGGATATCAAACACCAATGACAGTGGCCTCCTAGAAAACAATGCATAATCTGTTGTGGTCTTTTGAAGTTTTTGTGTAGGCATAAAGGACGGGAACTACTTTTCCTCTCATTCTCATGATGTACGACCTCACAAGTGCAACCTTAGTTAGTGTGCTTACCGGAGGAAATGAACCAGTACGAACTAGAGGTTAAAATTGAAACACAATTGAAATGAACACACCGAAGTGGATTATCGCAATGAAAGGCAGATTCAAAATGGCGCTAAAGTGTGTGGCCTCGATTTCAACACCGCTTGGGACTGATGTTTGCACGGCTGCTCGATGGGTCTTTCAATGCGAGGACAAGGAAGCTGACGAGGTGTGAGAAGTTGTGAGGAGCAGCGATTAATGGAGATGACAGAGTAGCGAGCGCGTCGTGTGTTCTTTTTCCTCAAAAGTTCCCCGGTCCTCCATCGTCTTCTGTCATCCCATTAGTTTTACTTGATTAGGTGGCAGCAACAATTGTTCTACCGTTCCGCCTTGCACTACCCAGTGATTTGGTTTACAATAACTAAGAGCAGTAGTCGATTCCATGCCATTGGTTGACGTACTACGGTGAACTTTGCACGTATTTTACACCATTCTCTAGTATTGTCGTAATGCTGCGCTGCTTAGTGGGAACCTTTCTGCCCCTTTTTCTCTTGTTTACAGGATGCGTCCTGGAGCATTTTACGACTCAACCGAGAGTACCTGGAGTCAGCCGGTGCATTGCAACAGAGCCCCACTGATTGGGATTTCACTCCGGACAACGTGCCGATCGCTCGGAAGCCAGTGACATCCGGGTGAGTTACCTCAGTTGCAAGTGCTGGTAGCCGAGCGAGCATCACCACACACACACACACACACACACAAACTGGCTAAACAAATAACTCACTGTGTAAATATTGTGTCAGAAGCAGTAGGGAAGCGTGGTGTAAAATTGTACCAAACAACTGAGAAGCCTTACGAGCAGCTACGTTCGTCGCTCCAGTTCATCGAGGCACGATAGATCTAGTTAGATGCATGAACAAATAGAAATGACGTCGTTCTATTGTAAGGTTAAATGTTTACCATTAAGGTTCTCAGGCGGGTTATGAGGGCGGGAGGTTGCGTCATTGTATTTTGGCCCAACGGCTACACGCGACAATAGCTCTACCAATTTTTGGACCCATCAGTCCCAGGTTTTGTTACCCACGCTCATTTTATGCACCGACGATTTTGTCACCAATCCCTTCAGCGTTTGCAAATAAACATGTGGCCTGATGAAAACGCGAGATGGCATCGGGTTGTTCCAATGCGCGTGGTTTTTGGCCATTGGACCGATGCAGTGTGTTCCACTCGCAAATAACTAGACCAATGCAAAGCAGGGATGCCACTACGCGGAGCGACGCAAACACATTATGTCCCTTCATTCTGTGGCTTTTTTTTACAAAATAGCCTTTGAGCGTTGCAGACTGATCCTCAGAATTATCTTAGGTAGTCTCAACAACGTTGCTCTCTACAGCAAGTCAGATGACACCGCCTATCTCGACAAACGATATCTCGATTTGCTTTAGAAGGACTGTGTTGGAACTGGGCGGCCATGGCGTCAAATGCTAGCTTTATAAGGTCGGCCTTTCGGAGACCGAGAGATAAGGTTATGAGGAGTGAATGCGTTAAGGTCAGCACTCGGTTCACCTGCTTTGTGTGACCGTGCTACTGTTCGTGCTATCACATAGTTAACTGTTGGCTTGTGCAAGAATAAACAGGATGTAGTTTGTCATCTGTCAATGGCCATCACATGTGCACTAAGTCGCCGAACCTGCATGCAAGTTTGATCCCGTGTTGATAGCCGTTTGGTGGGCCATCGAGACCGATGAAACGTTAGGGACATATAGAGAGGTGTATTTGCAAGGTGGTCGTAGGGGATTCACACGGACTGATTGGAACAAAGCTCAGTTCGAAAGCCGTCGAGATCCCGTAAAGCGTTCGACATCCGTTTCTCCTTTTCGGGACACACCACTATACTGTGCGTTCTATCAGTCTCCTGGTTGGCTTGAAATCTTGATCCCGAGTTTCCCGCCCAGTGGGAGCTTAACCACCCAAGAAATCTCGGCTGTTTCTGCTGACTTACTTTATCTAACGGCTACTGTATAACGCACCCCACTCTCACCTAATTTTCAAATCATTACTATACAGAACATATGGTATTCCCCATCAACGACGGTGTCTCAAACTTCACTCGCCAAATAACCCGTGTTTTCACAAACTGTCCGGATAGAATACTGTTTATGACTGGGCAGTACGAAGATTATTATGACTTGCTTGTGCATCATCAGATATAACGCCAAATGATGGATGTTTCGTCTTCTTGAGACACCTTCGCATCGCCGATTCCCTAGAAGCTGTGAGAGACTTCAAACCTTGGACTGGGAACTCCTGGCAAATACAGCCATCGGTAGCTATAGGAAGCGAGAAAATAATCGTGACATGTCGATCATGCACGTTAGTGCCGTCAGCACTGGTTTTACCCTACATCTGACTACCTCTCTGTGGAAGACTTGTGAGCGTTTACAGAACCGACGATGGCCTTGGTGAGCAGTTGTGGTGCTCGATCCGCCTCTGGTGCAGAGAGCTGTTCGTGGGTGCAGTTTATCGCAGTCCGCTGAGCCGTTGCTTGGATTGGTTGCCAAATCTCCGAAGCCACATGGGTCGTCCTCATTTTCTACTCAGGGGTGATTTCAGTTGTCCCCGAGTACGCTTCTCTGTAGTTCAAATCATGTCCGGACATTGTGAGGTCGAAGCAAAGTTCATGGACATGGTACTTGACAGTTGAGCAACGCGACAGATGTGCCAACCGACACGTATAAAACCACACCCAACTCCCTCGTGCCTAGACTTGAAGTTAACACACTGTGAAGAACATGTGTATGATGTTCAGATCCTGGAGACTCTAATACCAAGCGACCACTCAGTGCTCAGCCAGCATGGCTCTACTTGTACCGTATTCCTGTACAGCTATTGGGAAACTCGAGCGACGAGCCAAGTGGATTGGTCTCTGTCATCTGCTGCGGATGTGGAAGACTGTTGGACTGTTATAAGAGGGAGTGATATTACTGTGTTTTCGGTTCGTACCCCTGAAGTGTCGGAAAGTTAGACAAGTGGAGCCACATTAGTTTCGATAAGGAGTATGGAAAAATGGTCCGGCGGTGACGCAACTTGTGGGACAAATTCCCCTCCTCCAGGTGTCCCAACGACTACGAGGTGTATAAGAGGCAGCGACATATTTGTATCGGTGCCAAAAGGAACAGGCGCTGGCACTTCGAGGAGCAGCTCACAACCGCCGCAGAGGCCGCCCTGAAAAGAATCTTTGCCTAAGTGAAACGGTGTCTAAAGCCGGCAGATGATCCACCAGTGCTAGAGGGATCGAACGGGCAGCGCCTAACCTCTTGCGTAGAGCGTGCGTCTCCATTGGCGGCTCACTTTGTTTGTGTGTTTTCAAATGACCAGGGTTCTGTACCGAGTGCGACGCGTGCCACGCTTACCGAACTCGGCAGCCTAGTTTGCGGTATTGAAGAGGTGCGTCAACTACTCACCAACCTTGACAGCACCTGGTAGGGGATGCTCAATGGACACATTTTGCTACAACTCTTAGTCGCCTACCTTCGTTTCGCCATCGTTTGTTACTTGACAATTGTTTAAGCGCATCGTTCCTTTGCCCCGATTAGCTGGCCCAAGTCCTTCATAATGGATGCTATCACAGGGAACTATTTCCGCTAATGCTGTTTCCCCGAACTCGCCTGATTGGTTCTTTCTTTTGCCTCGAGTCATTCGCCCTTATTATTTGTTGTTTCCCATAATGTTGGCTGACTCCAACGTGCTTTAGTAGCTTTGCTTCATGGACTATTGTATCCTATATAAGGAGGCAGTGTTCTCATGCGTACAACTCGATCCTGGCTCATCTTCGTGTTCTTCTTGCGGTCGTGGAGGCGTGAACAGTCAGCGGCAACACAACAGCACCAAATCTGCTGACCTTGACGGACTCCACCCACTGGTTCTCAAGTCCCTATCAAGTATCATCTTATCTGCCGTGACTGACTTGTTCAACAAGTCGATGTCCGAAGATTCTTTGCCGGCCGACTGGGGATGCTCAATAGTAAAGATGATTCCGAAAGGCAGTGATCCCAGCAAAGTGAACAACCACAGGCCGATTTGTATGAAACTTATTTTGAGTAAGTTTTGCCGAGAAGATCGCGAAGAAAGGTCTACTACAACTGCCCCAATCAAACGATCTACTGACACCGGCACAGTGCGGTTTTCCACTAGACGTTCACGCATTGCTAATCTGTTGGTGATGATGCTTGAAACGTTGCAGCCAGTGAACTAGGAAAGTCTGCCGACGTAATCTACATAGATTTTAGCACAGCGTTCGACAAGGCAAACCATGAGATCCTCCTCAAAAGCTGACAGTCTGTGGGTTGGTGGACCCAGAACCTTCTCGTTGGACGGAAGTGGAGGGTACAAGTCGACGGTCATCTAATTGACTGGTATCTCCCTAAAAGTGGAGTACCCCAAGATACGGTACTGGGACCCACTCGGTTTCTTATCCATATCAACTATTTACCTCAGCTTCTTCGGTCTCAGTGTGCCCTGTTTGTGGATGACCTAAATATTTGGAAAGTAGCACCCCAGACGACTGCAGCCTACTTCAACAAGATCCCAGCCGCCTCTGCCTGTGGTCCGCAGAGGTCCGCCTTCCAATCAGCGCAAGTAACCCGGTATTCATGAGCCTGGGGAAGGGTGGTCATGGCCGAACCAACAGCTTTGACATCCAACCACTGAATCCCACGCTCTCCGCGAAAATCCTTGGTGTATTATCGCGCTGCGAACAAAACATATCATAACGGACTGCGCATGCTATAGGTGATCAGACGCAACATTTGTACCTGGGCCTCTTCTCTTCCACCATACTACCAATACTAGAGTACGGCTCGCCCGCCTGCTATCTCATCACCAGAGGCGAGTCACAGACGTTCGAATGGGTCCAACACGACGCTACCAGGCTAATTCGGGGTTTACAAGGATTGCGACTCGATCTCATCGGGATCTTTCACATATTACATATCCGTGACTTTCCCATGGTGTGGCCGCTGCTTCATTTGCGAACGTTATATGTCACATGCGGACAGGGTACAAGCTTGTGAGCTTGTGAGCAAGTTCCTCGTCCCCTTTTCTTCACACGAAAGTGGTAAATTTTCGGAACAGTATGTCAGAATTTGTCGTGGAGGCCAAATCTGTGCAGCAACTCAAAACGTCGCTAGATTTACATTTCGCCGCCATCTGATTCCGTGAATACAGTATTCAGTCGTTGCTACTCCAATCTTTAGTCCCTATAAACTTTGGTTACCTTTGTAGTTTGAGATGACAGTTCATTTCCACGTATTCCTTTTTACCACTTTCCTTTTTCGTTTCTGACGGTCTCCGTTGTAGAGACTGTTAAGTGATGGACTGTTAAGTGATGGAGACGCATTGCTTGATCAAAATGTGGTTCTATTGTTTCAGTCTAACTCATGAAGACAAAGAAGCGCCTCATAATTTTCTGAGTCAACCGCTTACTTGAACTGGTTCATTACCAAGATCTTCCTTTCGTTCGAGTCTCAGTTGAGCTTGAGACAAACGGCTGATTATTCCTTCTTTCTTCAAATGCATGGTAAACAAGTGCAAGAAGTTCGCACACACCAGAAGCTAAGACCTCAAGTATGTACATGACCATTAAAGCGGATGATTGTTCCACTGCAGCGTTTCACTTGTTTGACCTCCTGCA